GTTCGCTCAAGCCTAGACAGGGAAAGTCGAGAGGCGGAGGTCGGGTTCGAACCACGGACGTTCCGGTCAGTAAATTCGCACTCTAACAAATCGGGCGATATCGCCACATATCGGAGGCCACAGCCCGAAACCGTTAACCCAATAAGTCGTGTCCGATCCCTCTATGTCCAGGTGATGAGTCTCAATAAAGAAGAGATCGCACGCTTAGCCGAGGCTTCTTCACCAGAATCCCACCTTTTTCCTAAAAGACCGTTAACTTTGGTAGTTGGCTTGTTCGCTGAGCTGGGCAATTTGATTGAAGAAGCCAACTACCATCTACGCTACCTGAGCTACCGACGCTTTCCTCCACAGAAAACCATTAACTTTAATCACACTGTGATGCATGCACAGTATATATATAGGGGGGGAGGATGTCATGCGAGGACATCGATGTTTTAATTTAGGCACAGTGAGTAGATGTGCGAACCAGTGTTCTCAACCCCAGATACCCATTGTGAATGGTTTGTGGTGATCCTACTGGACAGACTGATTCATCAATGAATGCCAAGACTGGGTGGTTTAATCACCCAATGTAAGCGAAGTATAAAAGCCATTACCGGCAAACTCAGCCGCGCTGGTCATTACCGTCTTGCTGGATGGGGACCCCGAGACGGGCCATATCAGTGGTTAGATACATTGTCAGATATGGCTCAGTCGCGCCCTCAACGACGCTAATGCATAGCTCCCTTCCCAATTCCCCCACTTAACAGTTCACTGACAGTGACGTATTCACGCACTAATTTATCAGCTCCCACCTCCAATGCGCAGCTACCTACCCCACCTCCCCGAATCATCGGTGAACGAAACTGTGGCACCTACAACCAGTGTACGACAAGTACGCGGTTATCGCAGCTGTGAATGATGATGATGAGTCGTATTTGACACATTGTGTGGCAAACACATGCCTAAGACATGGGCCCATATGGCCATGCAATCCAAGCAAACAGGTACAGAACTCGACACAAACACTGACGTCACAAACCATATTGTGAGCACGGCATACAGTTGATGTACCTGTGAAGTCGGCATTGTAGCGTTACTCCAGTTGTGACCGGCACAAGTATATAAATATCTCAAAGAAAGCGCTTGGAATTCTCTCAGATCAACAACACGGGGGGAAACAGTGCGCCGTATCCGGTGCCATCATCCGATTGGCGAAACATTCAGTGGAAATAATTCTGTAATCTCAGTGGATTGTGTCTGGCGAAGGAATGAGGCAATGCAGAATGTTGGTGAACTGCAAAAAGGTTAGAATATTATGTTCCCAATGGAAGGCACCGTTGTGTGGATGCGGGAAAGCTGACATTTTGAAGTTGCACCGGTGCTGTAGGATAGCCCTTTATATGAATACTTTGTAATCTCCTGTTGACCTATACTGTACACCACCAGGACATGAGTATACATGGTTTTGCTGCACCCCCTTTTATTTTATATAAATTTCTCGCAGATCAGATGTACAAAACTCATAGAAATCAGACGATCAGTCAGCAAAAGTTAGACCATTGTGAATGCGTAGACTTACTGAGCATTGTCCGAGGAGAAACTGCATGACATCTGTTTCTTGCTTGAAACTGACATTAGTGTCAAAGTAGGGCCTTGAAATAATGATTGCATTTACGCTTATTCAGGCCAAAATAAACATTCCGTTCTTCTAGGAAGATAACTTTCCTGATTGTTCTGGCGTTAGGCTGACAGCTAACTTGTAAAAAGGTACGCTATGGATCAGTTTAGTTGCTCAACAGCACTTCCACTTTCGAAAATACGGTTTAATTGAGTAGCACTGTGGGCTAGGACCGTATCGGGACAGTGGTCGAGAAATGGCCAAATGTACTTTAGAAGCGTGACTTGGAGGTTACTGTACACTAACCCAGCGACCAAGAAACCATGAGTGCTAAGAGCAAGTTGCAGCACAAACATCAGTGACAGACTGTGAGAGGCTAAGTTGTGGACTCAACATCTGTACTTCCACAATTCATACGCCACTGACGGGCTGGGAAACGCTTGCTTAAAAGTCGATGATCCTGCTCCGTATGCCAGTCGACCGAATTCCTATTTTTGCACAAACACGTGAAGGGTAGAAACGAGCCAGAGGCAGTTAAATAATGGATTGGCAGTGAAGTATAAAGGCCATTGGTAGCAAACTCAGATGCGCTGGTCAGTACCGTCTTTTTGGATGAGAACCCCGAGACGGACCATATCAATGTTTAGAGACATTGTCAGACATGGCCCAGTTTCACCCTCAGAGGCGTTCATGTATCCAAGATATTGCATTGACTGCATAGATCCCTTCCCAATTCCCCCCCCTTAACAGTCCACTGACAGTGCTGTATTTAGGCACCAATTTATCAGCCACCGCCTCCAATGCGCAGCCACCCCACCAACCTCCCCGAATCATCGGTGAACGAAACTGTGGCACCTACAACCAGTGTACGACAAGTACGCGGTTATCGCAGCTGTGAAGATGATGATGACAACCAGTGTACGACAAGTACGCGGTTATCGCAGCTGTGAATGATGATGATGAGTCGTATTTGACACATTGTGTGGCAAACACATGCCTAAGACATGGGCCCATATGGCCATGCAATCCAAGCAAACAGGTACAGAACTCGACACAAACACTGACGTCACAAACCATATTGTGAGCACGGCATACAGTTGATGTACCTGTGAAGTCGGCATTGTAGCGTTACTCCAGTTGTGACCGGCACAAGTATATAAATATCTCAAAGAAAGCGCTTGGAATTCTCTCAGATCAACAACACGGGGGGAAACAGTGCGCCGTATCCGGTGCCATCATCCGATTGGCGAAACATTCAGTGGAAATAATTCTGTAATCTCAGTGGATTGTGTCTGGCGAAGGAATGAGGCAATGCAGAATGTTGGTGAACTGCAAAAAGGTTAGAATATTATGTTCCCAATGGAAGGCACCGTTGTGTGGATGCGGGAAAGCTGACATTTTGAAGTTGCACCGGTGCTGTAGGATAGCCCTTTATATGAATACTTTGTAATCTCCTGTTGACCTATACTGTACACCACCAGGACATGAGTATACATGGTTTTGCTGCACCCCCTTTTATTTTATATAAATTTCTCGCAGATCAGATGTACAAAACTCATAGAAATCAGACGATCAGTCAGCAAAAGTTAGACCATTGTGAATGCGTAGACTTACTGAGCATTGTCCGAGGAGAAACTGCATGACATCTGTTTCTTGCTTGAAACTGACATTAGTGTCAAAGTAGGGCCTTGAAATAATGATTGCATTTACGCTTATTCAGGCCAAAATAAACATTCCGTTCTTCTAGGAAGATAACTTTCCTGATTGTTCTGGCGTTAGGCTGACAGCTAACTTGTAAAAAGGTACGCTATGGATCAGTTTAGTTGCTCAACAGCACTTCCACTTTCGAAAATACGGTTTAATTGAGTAGCACTGTGGGCTAGGACCGTATCGGGACAGTGGTCGAGAAATGGCCAAATGTACTTTAGAAGCGTGACTTGGAGGTTACTGTACACTAACCCAGCGACCAAGAAACCATGAGTGCTAAGAGCAAGTTGCAGCACAAACATCAGTGACAGACTGTGAGAGGCTAAGTTGTGGACTCAACATCTGTACTTCCACAATTCATACGCCACTGACGGGCTGGGAAACGCTTGCTTAAAAGTCGATGATCCTGAGATGCCGGTCTTACTGAGGATTGCACCTATACGTGCACAGGTTGAGGCTGACCCTGATTAATAATTCTGGTAGCGCCAACTATGAGTCTCCTAACAACGCCCTCAGAGGCTGTTTTACTTGTCCCATCTACTGAGAAACCCATAGAAAACCAAGCCAAAATTAGTGCTTCGCTAGCTTCATGCTGATCAGAACGCAAGTGTTTAAAGGAGCACCTCCAAAACCAGGGGCGCCCTGCGACAAAGACATAACCACGTGATCGTCATCAGAGACAACAGCATCAGTGTTAACACCGATGTTTCACTGCCATACCCACTGATACTCAACCAGCAATCTCATCAAATCAAATCAGGCATAGTGAAATAGAACTCTATTGTCCAGGTAGTTATAGTCGGTAGCACTGCCTATCTACGTCCGAGAAATAATGCAGCGTTAAGTCAGAAAAGCATAAGTCTCAATGACCATCGTAAGCCCCACCTGTCAGCTGGATATAATCTAGTTGACTGTGCCACTATTCAGCAGTCATCGGTCGAATGCCTTACCAACACAGTTAGCTGAATCATCGACCTCAATCTTTCCACGTATGTCAGATCGATGCTTGTCAGGGGCAACAGATAGAGCCTAAAAGTTGCGGTAGGCCTAGATGCTGCCTAGTCACTTTCCCTCACGGCAAATACACAAAAACAAATGAACAATTAAGGCACAGCGAACTATTCGCATAAGTTTGATATCCACTGTGGCAGTGCAAGCGGAAATACAGACATACCCAAGATGGGAAGGAGGCGGATAAAAGCAGGCTTCATAGTGTAAAAAAACAGAGTTGAGCATCAGAGTTGAAGGGCACAGCGTATTCAGGTCGAAGAATAGTAAAGCAACAACTGTACAAGTAGCTTTTGTGTTGGTCCGTCTGTCACGACAGAAACAGGGCACTGATGTCATACAGTATAGTCCCAGCTATCATTGCCTATGTGTAGTAAGTGGATGAGTTCATTAAAAACACGGCATGGAATGACAGCGAAAGACTCTGAGATCCCAACAGTTACTGACGGCAAGGCTAACATCGGTGGCAAAGGGAGACGGTTGGAATGAGATGATAGTCTAGGAAAAATAAAATTAGCGGAATTGCGTAAAAATAACGCCGCCTTTGAGTTTGCTGGTCTCGGAAAAATGCGCAAGTCTGATTATATGAAAAGTTTAGTGGTAGGACTGAAGACCACCATGACAAACCTCTCAGTATGAACATTGTTAGGTGGGAAGCCGGGTAGCATAACTCTTCGATTCAAAGTCAACCGATATGCGGGCCACATTCGGATTCGCCTGTTTCTACTGCTTGTAAGGAATTAACGTGGTTTTGAGTGTGTGCACCAAATTGTCCTACTTCAGCCTGAGTAGAGAAATCATTGGTTGTTGGGGCAGTGTCTTTGTGTCTGCGTCCTCGAACACTACCACCAGTGGGTTGAGTGGCATTTGAAGTGGGAAAGTGGAATTTTCGTGTGACCACACCGTCCGGTTTGTGTAGGAGTAGTAACAGTCCGAAAATGCTGATCACTGTCCCGACGAGAGTAATCCAACCAGCCACAAACCAGACCCCATTCATCACTGTCACAACGCCACCACATACAGACTCGGTGACATCCCGAGTAGCCTCGTATAGACGACGACAACGGCCAACCTCGGCCATCAGTTTTGGCCCGTAGGTTACGACTAGTTTGGCTGCTTCATCAGGAGTGTTTGCCGCAATGTTTTCTTCAAACAACTTTACTGCAACTTCCAGCAGTCTGGGTTTGTCGGACATCAAGGATTTCAACTTGGCAAGATTCGCCTGAAGACTGACAACGACATGGCTAACCTTCTTGGCTTTGGACAGTTCAGTCAAATGTCCATCGATTGTTTTGATATTTGCAGCCATTTGGGTCAATCCAAGACGAACCTGTTGTGTGGCAAACTCAATCTTTTGAACCTGTTCCGTTGTTAGACTTGGATAGATAATCGTACGGTAAGCATCCCAAGCATCCCACATGGCTTTCTCTGGATAAGGTCTGTAGTTGACTGAATCCTCTTCCGTACCACGAACACTGACATAGGTGGTGGGAAGATTTTGACGTAGTTCTTCAAAATTAACAATAAAGTCATCCAAACGACCAGCCATAGCAAGCTGCTCATCAGTTTCCGCGGGAAACATTTCGTTCGGATCGATTGACCTCAAAGAGTCCATCATAATCTCTCGACCAATGTTAACAAATCGCGCCGACATCTCGGGGTCGTTCAAACTGGTCATGTTGAAGTCACGTATAGCATCGAACGCTTGCAGAACACCCATATCCTGTTGACAGTTGTGCGTGAGAGCATAGACTGGGCTTCGAATATGTGGTATCGGCATTGGCTTGCTGCCCGGTGGGGTGGCTCTTAAAGCGATCGCTTCGATTTCAGGCCAGTGCTGGTTGAGAAATTCGTTGATGTGCGAGTCAAGTGTAAAGACAGTTTCACTGGTATACGTGCCTTTCAGGGTATCGTGGCGGACAACGGTTACCATCTTCTGTCCTGGGTCGAGGTATCGGCAAACTTCACTGTAAGCATAGCCAGCTGACAGGAACAAAATTACAGCGAATAACATACTGATTGCGAAAAGGACAAGTCCACAACTGGCGACCGAACGTACGCGATGTCGATCATGACGATTCAATTTACCAGGGACGCAATGATAGTGAATGAGCAACCAGGTTATCCCAACCGTGAGCAACAAAAATAAACTCCAAAAAATGCAACCAACCGCGAGTGCAATTGTCGAACCCGAGGAGACCTTCGGTGCAACTGACCGGGTCACCATCAGTGCAGCTTGGTCAATCGCTTGAATCGCTTTGCCCAGTTGCGAACCTAGCATGTCCCAACGTTGATCTATCATATCCCCAATAGATTTCGGGATATTGATTCGCTCCGCCATAATTTTCTTCGTCTCTATCAATTGTTTGTCGGCCAAAATTTTCCCTTGGTTCAACTGAGCCTGAACGGTTTCAGCAGTTTGATTTCGATCAGTGGTCACGAACTTGAGAGCAATGGCAAACGTAAACGGTGGCATAAACGAGTCAGGACGGGCCGTTAGGTTACCAGCAAACGTGTCGTGCAGCCAACGACATTGGCCAGTACAATTTCCATCTGTCAAGCTTGGTCCGTAGTTGTTAATAAGGCGTAGCCATGTCTGTAACTCGATCTTGAACCGTTCGAAATGGGCCTTAACTGATGTATCTTGTTCAACAACAGCCATTGAGTGTGTGATCAAGGATATAACACTACTTCCGAGTAAATCCCCTTGAGCAAACGCCTCTGAGACACCAATCTTATCAAAAAGTAAGGCATTAAACTCATTCGTCATTCCATCTTGCATCTGTTCCGTTGCCCGAATCAGTTCCTCAACAGCAGGGGCCGTATGATTTTTCGTGTTTTGAACGAATTCCGATAAATAAGCTCTGACCTGAGCTAATGCCCTGAGCAACCGAGGGAAAACATGACTTTTTGAGGAATCGACATGCTCTAACTCTGCAGAAGTCAGAAGTCGCCCGATCGCTTCTTCATGTGTGGGTGGTGATGCGAGATTTGCGTGCAGCTGACTGCTTACTGTAAATCCGAGAAGCACACCGGTGCCCAGCAAAACAGTTAGTAAACAGAATAAGAAAAACTGGATGGCCAAACAAGACCAGTGGGACTGAAGTTGCTCTCGCCTTTTGTAAAATGGTTTGCTTGATCTTTTCGGAGCTGCATCCATCACTAACATTGGCATATTTGCCTCCATCACCCCGCTGGTCATATCGGTCAAATAGACCATTGCTGTCTTGCGCCTTGCCTTGCGTCGACATTGAAAACAAAGAAAAACAGCGGCTGTTAGCAATAGAATAATCCAAAGTAGTCCAGACGTGACAGCAACAGCGTATCCCGTCCGTGCATAAGTCGATAATACATGATCTCTCACAGTGTGTTTAGGTGAATAAAAAGACACATTTGCTTGTTTGGCTGTGGGGAGTTGCACAATATTGTTGAAGGCGTAGGCCAGTAATCCACCGTCCAAGCTTGGCTGCGTATAGCTAATGATGTTCAAGGCAGCCGTGTAGATCGGCTCCATCGTGAGCGTTGCATGCGCACTCTCGGAGCGCCGAACAACGGAGAATGAAGCGTGCGGCGTGACCGCGCTTTGAGATAGCGTGACTTGAGCGCGATTGGCTAAATTGGCCTAGGCGTTTGTAGCGATTTGGATTGGTCTCAGCTCGTCTGCGGCACGTGCTGAGATGGACCAATCGGACGACGGGAACGGTGATGTAGCACTGCCGGCTTGGTCTTCGTTCCAGCGAGAAGGTTGCAAAATCAAACTGTAGTCAACGCTGATAGAAATTTGTCAATCAATGTCCGCAGACTCGGATGCCTCCATATTGTGGTTTCACCTTGTGTTTTACTCAGAATCTGCAGCTCTAAAAGACTTCCTGAGTGGCATGGCAAACGAAAATTTCCACTACCGGACTCCGAGTTTCTTTGACTCAGGATACCTTCCCAAACTTTAAAATATATCCAAATCTTGCAGCCTTTCGTGGTGTTTTGGAACAAAGGTGGTCAGTGGAGAAAGCTTCAATGTTCCATTCCCATTTCTTGTTTACGGTAGAAAAACATTGCATAATTTTGAATTCTACCGGAAAGTTCATTGTTCATGCTCAGTTACAACTGACTCCCGCTGCTTCCATCTTACTCTGAACAAATGAAAGACGGAAATTTTGAGAAATGCACTCATTTGCATATCGATCTAGCTTTAACGGGAGACTCAACTACCAGAGCTTTCAGTAACTTTGTGAGTAGTTTCCCTTTTGGAAAGAAATGCAAATGTTCATCATCCGGTAAAAAAATTTAGAAGAGAATCCGCTGCTTACTGACACACATCTTTTCAAGAGTCCAATAAAATCAATTTAGATGTAAAAGTATAAGTGAAAAAGAACTAGGCAGTCATTTTTGCTAATTTTACATGAAATAAGACAGGGTTCGTATCCCGAAGTTCCCCAGCCAACATTCGGCCAACAAAACGATAGTTTAACTAAATAGGATAAAATTTCCAGGATCATTCGGCACTTGGTAACCAACTTGTCATCGATATAAAGTTGGCCGACATTTGTAACTGAGGGACACTGGGGTTTCAGGTGAATTTCCGCGCTTGCTACGTGCTGTAACAGTTTTGGCAACTGTTCCGCTTGCTAGGTCATTCGAATCCCCGAGAAGAAGGAAGGGTCACATTAGGTGCTTCTTCCTGTGAGCCGCGTCGTCATCAAAAGCAGCTAGTTTGGATAAGATTCAAAAATTTCAAAAGAAAGCAACTAGTCGAAAGATTAGTCCGATCTTTTCCAGATAAGCCCCGTCGAAAAATTAACCCCCGCCGCCCAAAAAAGATTAGAAAAAAGGGGACATGCGATTTGTACTTTCAGTATTTATCGAAGAGGGTGAAATTGGGATGTCATTAATATTTGCACGAAAAGGTCTGTTTTACGGTACTTTTGACTCCAAACGAACTCACACAAGCAGCTGTCCACAAGACCTTAGTTTCCCGAAAATCCACTGCTAGGGAAGGACTCGCCCCGCGTGAATTTTACGGCGAGATATTGCCTTTTCATGTATCTCGACGCGTAGACCTGGACCGCCGCAAATAATGTATTACCGTCTCTGTCATGAACGAGGGTTGAAAGCGTCAGAAAGTTCATTTAAGGTTTTACGTCCGAACGGAGAAAAAATTTGCACAAAATAAGCATAGATATGGATAAGGAACTGTTTTCAAAAATAGGTCAAGGTTGTGTGCGTACATTAAGTTGGAGCTGGCAAAAGTGGCGGAGCTTGAATTTTCGCACATGCACTTTTTGCATAAGTGGCGGGGCTTATCTGGAAAAGATCAGATCAGTCTACCCAATTCCACAAGCTCTGGATGGAACAGGAAGTCTAAACCGGGACATGGATGAACACTGTGCTTCCTTGTGAATGTACCATCTCAAGTTAATTCCAGTTTGCTTTTTATTCCTTTGAAGTTTGACTTACAGTGTATGGTTTTCAATAGGGACAATGAAATCAACCGTTTAAAGTCAGCCTAATAACTCTCACCAGTCGTAACGCATTTCTCGTTGTTCCTTGCGTCTTGGTGAAAATATCTTTTATCCGCATTCTCATTTGAAACCTTGGGGAGGTTACGGGTGACTGTCTAAGTTGTACCGTTGTGTAACACGAAGCTTTCTCTGTCATCACCATGTTTGTTATGGTGCCCTGTGAAAACAGAAAATTCCTCCTGACCTCCATCTCACCAAATCCAATCCTTTAGTATTTCCTATTTCGTTTATCAATCAGTTTGACTATTTTTAATTTTTCACCCACATAACATATTTCCGATGTACTATTATGGATGTGACTTTCTCATTACTCACGGTCAGATGGAATTAACTTTGTTTCTAGCTTTAATTCAAATTGACCAAAAGAGTAGCACACTTGTCCGACACTGACTCTTCTATCACCTAGACGATCAAAATGACTGCATTTCGTGAACTATTCTGATGCCATGATGCAAATGACCCACAAAAGCCGATGTGATTACGCTCGCAAGCTACAGTAGCACGTGATTTGACCTTGTAGCACAATCTACCCCACTTATCAACAATCTGCACTGTTGTGGACGGTTGATGAAAGCGCGCCTATACGGCTCACGTTACAGAAGGCGTGTCCGAGAAGTGAGTGTCAACCATCGAAGAACACCGGCCAGTTGTATTAGACTGAACTTGGTCTGATTAGAGTCAACTGAGGCAGTAAATGCAACGAAGTCAAGCTCGAGGGTTCAAACCGATCTGTTGGATTCTTCATTGTTCTGTTCTTCCAGGATGTTTCCTCAGCTTGATCTCAAAATCATTCGTTGGTAGATGATGAAATTACCGGGCTGATTTGAGTAGAAACTAACAAGTGATTGTGTTCTTCGTTCGCTACTCTCCACTGACTCTGATTTCCTCTCTCTTGATTAGAAAGCGAGTCGAAATGACCTGTTGCACTGTCGCTGTCGAAGGCCGATGCATCGCAGACAGCACACCCACACTTAAATAATATGAATAAATCGTTCGGCTGTAGCACCTTTTTGGTGCCTAGCTGCCATGCCGCACGAAAGAGGCACGAGGGCTGGGATACTGCCAGGTCGTCCAAGCCTAGAAAGGGGAAATCGAGAGGCAGAGGTCGGGTTCGAACCACGGACCTTCCGGTCAAGTAAATTCGCGCTCTAACCACTTGCCCCCCCCCCACATTTACTGGATGCTGGACAAGGCTTGGCGCCCATACTATCACCACCCTCTCTTTGAGTGATCAACTTAACCTGTCGTTCAGTGGAACAGTAGTGCAGAAATGTGCCAGTGTGTGTAGGAGTCATTGCAGCGCAATATCGCCCATGGTAAAGTTGTCGCCGATCGTGCACTCAGGACTATCTGAACCCTTCAACACTGAAGGCACACGGTTCATACCTTCCATTTCCATGCTGCATTAGCTGCATTGTTTAAGTTTTAAAAGTCTTCTAATCACTGGAAGAATTAGCCAGTCTATGGGGAAGGAAGGGGTGTGTTTACATATAGCCACCAGGTAAATATTGTCATGTAGATGCGGAAGATATACCGCTGGGCGTGTACATACCACCGTTTGGGGCGTGTACTTAAAAAAATCGTTCAGCTGTAACATCATTTCGGTGCCTAGCTGCTATGCCACCCGACGGAAGCTCGAGGGCTGGGATACCGTCAGGTTGCCAAAGCCAAGACAGGGGAAGTCGAGAGGCAGAGGTCGGGTTCGAACCACGGACCTTCTGGTCAGTAAATTCGCGCTTTCTCGGCATGTACTGAGGTAAGTTATCTCACGGAATTTACGTTCCTGGTTTGCTGTGTACTGTGCTGAATTCTGTTCCTCTTAGTGCAAACTTATGGGTTTGTGAACCCATAGTAACAATCAACTTGGCATGATCGTGGACGTTTCGTAGTAGTCAAGGTGGCCATATTGGTTATTTTTTAATTGCTCCCCCAATTTAAAACCTACATTTGGAACCCTTGAAGTCAAATAGAAGTTACAATATACTACATGCTTGTTTTTAACTGCTGTGTCAATATTTACTTATGAGAAGAACAAAACACATTATCTACTCCTCCCACAAATGGGTTCCTTTAGGACTATTTTTCGAACCTGACTGAGGGAGATCGGGATGTCTGAAGTTGCCACTTAAGAGAGCTCAACGGTTTATAGACAGGAAGTGTGTGTGCGTAAATATGTGCAGTGAACTGAGGAAGTCAAATGGATACCCTCCTGTAGGATCAAAATACGTCCGAAGCCTCCCGAAGGTTATCAGTATTTTGTAGAGGAATGATTTCCCAAAGTGCTTCAGTCTCGTTTTGAGAATGCCTCGAATTGTTATGCAGCTAGAGAGAAGCTGACTAGCATTTTTGCTGCGAGCAACGATGGGCGTATCATCGGCCAAATAGCTGAACGCCATGAGCCCTCTGAACAGCTTTTTTATGTGTGATAAGCTGAGCACATTTGTCTTTCTGTTGTCCATCGAGCACAGGGACACCCGCAATCCTTTTTTCATTTGACGCGCAGATACACTGGAAACAGAACACACAAAAATAATTCAGAATGCTAAGTAGCGTCTCTTTTCGCTAAACCTGAATACTGTTTTGCCCACTGGATCGAGAAATGAGATCGAATGAACCTCAGAGAGCAACGAAAGACAAGCTATGTTTCACGTGGTCACGAAGACTGACGAAAACAGGAGTCCAGTGTTTGACGCGGTTGATCTTACAGCAAATCATGAGCCGTTTCCTAAAACATCAGTTGGGTGTGGTCTGCTCAATTGCAGCGGATGTGGCATACATTTACGATGTTTATGCTTAGGAATGTAGCTTCATCATCGAAGACGTGACTTGACAAATTACACCTACCAAGAAAACCAGTTATGCACATCACAACCTAAACCCCACAGTTAGTCCTCCCTCCGTGTAACGATCGCCCAGGTAACAACCTCCTTTCCGTTACGACTGACGTAGTCACTCGCGTTGCTGCTAAATATATCACCATAAAACATCCCAAGAC